CTTGTTCCTTGGGAGCAGAGCCCAACCCCCCCCTGGCTCCAGGCTCCTGTCAGGAGCTGTGCAGAGCCAGAAGGTCTCCCCTGAGCCTCCTTTGCTCCAGGCTCAGCACCCCCAGCTCCCTCAGCTGCTCCTCCCCACACCTGGGCTCTAGACCCTTCCCCAGCAGCTTCATTGCCCTTCTCTGGCCACACTCCAGTGGCTGGACCTGAGCCATGGCTTCTTTGCCACCTTTGGTGGCAGCAGATTGCCCCGTTGCCCATTGGCACCGTGCACTGGCAGGGATGCTGTGACTTCCAGCAGGATCCTGGGAGAATGCTCTAAGCTTTGATGACTTCCCTTGAGTCAGAACCTGCATCTGTTTTCCTCCACTGCTTGGGTTTCCCAGAGAAGGCAGTCGGCTCCTTCCCCCTCTAGAAGGTCACCAAATGGTGAGACCATCATCCTTGCTCCTCAGGACACGTTTGGGATTGTCCAGCTGGGTTCCCAAGGGACCTTCCAGTCCAAGCTTTGACGGTGGGTACTTCATTTTGGGTAGCTGCACACCCCCAACAGTGGAGCTGAGCAGGACCCCACTCCCCCACCTACCACTTGTCCACCCGCTGCCCAAGTTTTGGCTAGGGAAGGTCCAACAAAGAAGCCTCCTGATGCACATGGGGCCTTGAGAAACCAACCCCACCCATGCCCCCCACAACCTCTGGCTTTCCTGGTGCATCCCTGGGGAAGGGGCTGCCCGAGCCCTGCTGCTAATTATCCCTGATGCCATTTGCACTGTCCCTAACGAACGTGCTGCGAGGGAACAACCAACACGTTCCTCAGGACTGCCAAAAGCTCCTCCTGAGCTTTGGAGCTGTGGAAGCACAAGGTACTTGTGTAGCTGACACCCCGGGGCTGTTTGTCAGAGATTTTGTGGGTAACCAGGAATGTTAGAGCAGAGCAGCCAGCGATGACTGATCTCCTGTTCATCCTCAGTATTCCCTGGCTCTCTGCAGCAGCCACCAAACCCCAGGCTGCTTCCTAATAGCTGATGACAAACGTTGGCTTGGAGATAGCCACCTGGAGAGGAATTTGGTGCTTTCAGGGATGAAAGCTAGAGGGAAGCTCAAGGACACGTGGCCCCAGCTGAGGCCTGCTAGTTTGTGCCCAAATACCCTATATTGACCTTCAATATTTCCTAATTTAGCCAAATATTTCCAAAGAAAACAGAATGTGCGTGGCAGATGTGTTGCAGAGGAGCAGCTGGTGCCACCAAAGCCCCCGTGGTGGTGGGGATGGGCTCACAGGAGCCCACTGTGGCCTCCCCAGGGGTGCTGAGGATGGGGGGCTGACACGGTCCAGGGAAGAGCTGCCCCATTGCAGAAGTCACCTCTCCTGTGTGGGCTTGGGCAGTGAGAGGGGAGGCAGCAGCAAGAACAGCAGGGTGAGGTTCAAAGGTCCAGGCTGAGCTGCTTGATCCCAGCACGCTCCAGATCTTTGGTCCCTGGGAGCCCAGCCTGGCACGTGCTCTGCTCATGTTCCATCCATACCCTTTCCCTCAGGTCACCCACAGTGTCCTCAACTCTTGTATCTCCTCCCCTGGAGACCTGCAGTAGCCTGGCAGTGCTCAAGCTGCCTTCCCCCTGGGGAATTTGGTAGCAGAGCCCATGTGGACCCAGATACAGGTTCCCAGGGGCCAGACTCAGCCACAGCCTTTGAGATGCCCGTGGTGGCTCAGCCTCTCTCCAGAAACTCCACCCTGAGCTGTGAGAGTGCTGGAGGCCAGCAGAACAGGATGAGTTTTGGAATAGAAACCCACCTGGACAACCCCAAACGTGTCCTGAGGATCAAGGGCCATGGTTTTACCATCTGGTGACTTTTTAGAGGGGGAAGGAGCCAATTGCCTTCTCTGGGAAACCAAAGCAGTGGAGGAAAACTCTGACCCAAGGGAAGTCATCACAGCTTAGAGCATCCTCCCAGGATCCTGCTGGAAGTCACAGCATGATGCAGATGACAAAACCAAGTGGATTTTCCCCACAGTTGGGTGAAAACAAGGACTTTTTTTTTTTTTCCCATCAGCTCCACTGCCTAGCTCACTTCTCCTTAATTCACCAAGGTTTGGAGCAAAAGCAGTGAGAGCAAAGCCCCAGACCTGTGAGGGCAGCAGCAGGAGCCGTGGGGCATCACATGGGGGGGTCTCAACTCCTTCCTGGGGTCCCTTTGCCAGTGGTGAACCCCATTGCTTGCCCCAAGGATGCAGGAGGATGCTGGAGCTCTGGGAGCATCCCTCTTCTGAAGGTTTCCCTTCCAGGGAAGACTGATTTTTATTCCTTTTGGCAGCAAAGGTGGCTTTTATTCTCAGTATTGTTTCCCAAATGTGTTTGGGGTTGTTTTTTGTCGTTTTTTTTTCCTTTCTTTTTCCTATTTGATCTGACAAGACTCAAAAGTTTGGACTGGACAGAAGCTGCAGCTCGGAAGGGAGGTATTTGAGGCTTCCTGCCTTGGCTGCATCACAAGCAAAACATGTGGCTTTTGGTCTCTTATTTATGCCAGTGATGTCACTCCTGACAAGAAAATGAGACTCCGTTTTTCGGGTTGCTAAATCTCCTTGACAACCTCTAAAAAAACTCCCCCTCCTTTCAGCCAGTGTAAATATCCTCCGATTATTTCATTTTTTTCCCCCCTTCCTGCCTCGAAGGCAGCCACATCTGTCAGCTCCCCGACCTCCCTCCCCTCTGCCATCCACTCCCTGGGCACTTTCTTCCAGATTGTTTTGCTTTTCCAGCCCTGTTGCCTCTCCTGGTCCCAAAACCTGCCCTGAGCAGCACGAGCTCCTCACAGAACTTCTCCCTGCTCCCCTCACTCCAGGGATTTTGTGCTCATTGAGTCATTTGTGGTTATTTATTTGGGGTTTTACCTTGGTTTGCACGACCAGCCTGGTGGCCTTGTGCAGGAGGCCACAGCTGCATAGTGGGGTCCTAAGGAGTTATAGGATGGGGGTCTCCAACTTGTCCCACACCCCCAAAACCTCTGCAAAGCAGAGGAACTCTGCTGGGTGCAAAAAATCAGAAGAAAACCATCCCAGCCTTGCTGACACTCGCTCTGAACCCAAGTGAAGATGCCTCTGGGACATCCCCAACTAGAGCAGGGTGCTCAGAGCTTGGTCCAACCTCACCTGGGATGGTTCCAGGGATGGGGCAGTGACCACCTCTCTGGGCAGCCTGGGACAGGGGCTCACCACCCTCAGCATCCAAAACTCCTTCCTCCTCTCTGGTCTCAGTCTTTGCTTCTCCACTGGCTAACAGTGAACTCAGAGGAGGGTTTAATTTGTTTTGTAATGTTAAATAAGGTCAATCTACCACAAAATTCGCTGGCTCTCCTCCTCCCATCTCCTTCCTTCCCTTCCCCCCTTTTCTAGAATTTCTTTCTGTAAGGTTTTAAAGCTCCTTCCCTCAGCTCTCCTTGGCCAGGCTCTGGGGCTCTGCTCACACAGCCAACCTTGCAGCTTTCTTCATCACATTTATCCTGAAGATTCCTCCCTATCCAACCCCTTCCCATCCCTCCTCACTGGGACCTGGGCCGTGCCCTTCTGTGCTCAACCAACCCCTGGGGAAAAGAACCTTGGGAATTAAAAACCCAATCCTGGAGAAGCTGTGCCACCCATGGGGGGAAGTGTGTGGGGCTGGTGGAAGGCTGGGGTGTTGTGAACTGGTGTCTTCTGGCTGTGGGACATGGACCAGAGGACATGGGACATGAACCACAGGACATGGGACATGGGTGGCTGCAGCAATTTGCACCCACCAGTAATAGAAGATCCTCTTCCCCCCTACTCCAGGGTTTTTTTTGCCCCCCCAGCCAATTTCTCCATCAAATACACCCAAGAGGGCTGTGGAGACAACTCAGGGTGGCCACGGATAGACAAAGGAGCATCTCCAGCAGCCCAAAAAAACCCAGTGCTGGGGAAGAGTCACTTCACAGCCTCACCAGCCCAGGCTAGCCCAGGCTAGTGGAGAGGATGAGATGATCTCTGGGTTCTCTTCCAGCCTCAGCCATTCTAGGGTCCATCTGCTCACCACGCTGCTGGGCCCAGCTCCTGGCAGAGGGAAGAGCACCTAGATCCCCCCCAAATTTGCTCCCTGGTGCACAAATTGCTCTTGAAGGTTGGCTGTGGGCACCAGGCTCCCCGTGCCATGGACAGGGACCTTGCTCCTGCTGTACTGGGGGAAGAGCAGCATCCTCCAGAGCAGCTTTAGGGAAAGGACTAGGCCTAAAAATTGCCCCATCTAGGTCTGAGCATCCATCCTTGGGGACACTCTCCCCCAAAACAGCCACCTCTCTCCAGCAGACACCCCCCAGCTTCTGCTCACATGGGAAAAGTGAGTCCCAGCTTTGACTCTTTGGTTCTGCAAGACCCTTGGGGACAGACCAGCCCCATCTGGTGTGGCCAAATGTTTTCTCTGGTCCCTGCTGGGGTGTGTGGGGACATAGTGGTGGGAATCACCACCACCAGCAGCTGCTGCTCCACAGCTGGAGGAGCATCACCCAGCCCAGGAGGCTTGAGGAGATGTTGGAGGGGAGGAGGGTGCTCTCCTCTCCACTCTCTCTCCATCCTGGCTGCTCCCTGAGGGCTCAGTGCTGGAGAGAGGAGTGTTGGGTAGCTGCAGGAGAGGACCTTGCAGCCTCCTCTCCACCATGGCTGGCTGGGGGAATGCTGTGGTTGGGCAAAACCACCCCTTTCCTGCAGGATCCTCCTGTGGTGTCTTAGATAGAGAATTTAGGGAGCAGCATTCCCAGGATGTGGAAGCTGGAAGCACCTCTGGAGGTCATCTAGCCCAACCCCTGCTCAAGCAGGGTCAGCTGGAGCGTGTTGTCCAGGGCTGTGTCCAGCTAGGGGGTGAATATCTCCACAGATGGAGACTGCACAGCCCCTGAGGGTGACCCGTTTGGTCTCTGACCACAGTAAACAAAGGCTTTTCTCCCAGCATCTCAGCACCTTGGCTGACAGGAGCCTTCTTTTCTCTCCCCAGGGTTCAGTGAGACCTTCAACATCGACACCAAGAGGCCCAAAGTGATAGCTGGCTCAAAGGAAGCCTACTTTGGCTACACGGTGCAGCAGCATGACATCGGGGGGCAGAAGTGGTAAGTGAGCTCTGAAACAGCTTCTGAAGAGCTGAGGACCTCCAGCAGCCTACCCAAAACGTTCAGTGTCTCCTCCTGCTCCATCCCACCACCAGTTTGGGGTGGAGAGTGCTCTGGCTCTGAGGGAGACTGAGGTTTGCTCCTGGTGATGCTGCAAGCCAGCCTGGGCACGGTAGAGACTAGAAACCCTTTTTCTTTGAAAAAGAAGGATTTTAGGTGGGGGAGAAGGGTGGATTTTGTGTTTGCTAGGTGTCCACGGAGGGTGCTGAGCTCTGGCTCCTGCCTCTTGGTGGCAGGTGCTGTGCACGGGGCTTTGCTCCAGGCAGGTTCATGGGTCCCTGAGGCCCCGAGTCCTCCAACCCATGCTGGAAACCCATCTGGGTGTTGGGTGGAGGCCATCCCTCTTTATAGAGTTTCCACCAAAGAGCCGTGGTCTGCAGAAGAGCTCAGACCTGCCCCCTGTCCATCAGGAGAGGGAGATGACTCTCAGATGGGCTTTGCTCAGGTTTTGGGTTTCACGGCGGGTTTTGCTCCTCGCCAAGGCTGGTCCCTGGTGGGGGATCCTTCACAGATGTTGGCAGAGACCCTTGGTGCTCTCCAGGAGCACATCTGGATGCTGCAGTGATGGGGAAAAAAAAGCAGCTCCTGGAATTCCTTGCCACTCAGTCCCTGCTGAGCTGCAGGACCTGCCCCACGGGTGGGTGACACGGGGGCTGGCTCCATCCTCCTGGCATATTTACCTCTTGATGGACATGAATGAGGTCACCCCTCAGTCTTCTCCAAGTTAAAGAGAGATGCTCCATCTCTGTGGCTCTGAGCTGGACTCTCTCAAGCAGTTCCTTGTCCTCCTTGAGCTGAGGAGCCCAGAACTGGACACAACACTCCAGATGTGGCCTCACCAGGGCAGAGCAGAGGGGCAGGAGAACCTCTTCTCCACCTACTAACCACAGCCCTTCTAACACACCCCAGGAGGCCTTCTTGGCCACGAGGGCTCCATTGATGCCTCGTGGGCATCCTGCTGCCCACCAGGACCCCCCCAGGTCCCTTGTGCCCCACTGACCACAGCTCTCTGACCTTTCTCCTTCAACCTCACTAGCTGGTCACCCAGACCACACGTTCCCAGCTGAGCTGTGGGGGTGCTGTGGGAAGGATGGGGCTGCCTCTGCTCCTTCAGAGAGGTGGGTCCCGAGGGGGTATTTTAGCACCCAGTGACCCCACCAAGCTCCAGAGACTCACCTCTGCATGGCAGTGATGTGCTTGTCCACTGCTCCAGCTCCAGACCGAGCTCGGGGCTGCTCATGGGGCTCCCCATGGTCCACGAGGAGGTTTCCAAGCAGCAGTTGGGGGGTTCTCCTGGAGATGACCCTGCCTGGGGCCGTGGTGGGGGCTGGGTGGTCTCTCAGGACCCTGCTCATCCTCGCTGTCCAGGAACCTGTGCTATGGGACGTGGCTTTTGGGGGGAGAATAATGAATTTTGGGCAGGCTGACAGTGACACTGCTCGTGGCCAAAGCCACCAGAGCAAATTCCTGCATCATCCCCTGCTTGAGACCTGGGTGGTGATGACTGATGTTAACGAGGGCTGTTGCTTTGCTTGGCTTAAAGTCTCCCATCAAACCCCACAAAATTTGGTGGCGTTTGCTGTAGCTCCTGCAAGAGACTCTGGCTCTGCAGAGGGGTTTGCCAGGTCAGGGCTAAGCCCAGGAAGGGCTGAACAGAGATTGAGGTTCTCCAAAGTGGTCAAGGAGCAAGAACCAAGTGTCTTTGCCATCACATTCCTCCCTGTTTCAGGCCAATATCCCATTTCTGAATCTCATTTCATCCTAAACGTGCCCAAAGTCCCCTCCTGGAGGAAAGCAGCATCACTGGATGCTGATGACAGGCAGGCACCTTGCTCTGAGGTGTTCCTCAAGTGACACAGTGACATCCACAGGAGCTGGGAGTGGGAAACCCTCCTGGGACCACAGCTGAGCCTTGCTCCTGAGGAAGGACCATCCTCACCCACCCCTGGGCAGAGGATGCAGGGCATGGATCCCACCAAACCTGTTGGGACCTTGGCCCATCTTGCAGAGGTCCTGGCCGAGGTGTCCCTGAGGGATCCCGTGCAATCCCCTCCAGCCCCTGGGGCTTTGGGCTCCCTGCCAGGCAGGGAGGGCAGCAGCAGATGAGCTTTTGGGTGCCCAGGGCCTGCAGGAGCTGGTTTGGCTGCCCTGCAGAGATTTCTGCCCCAAATGAGCTCTCTGAGGGAGATTGGTGGAAAACACCCATTTTAAAAGTATCCTCAGCCCAACTGTAGCTATAGGTGCTGCTTCAGGCACGATCCTGGCTGCAGCCTGGCAGAAGGACATCCAATTCTCCTGCCATTTGGAGGAGAATTTGGAGGAGATGCTTTTTTTTTCTCATGCCTTTGAGCTGCTGATGGGGTGACCAAGGACTGGCTTCCCTGGAGAGCAGCAAAGGGAGGATTTCTCCTCCTTCCCCAGCAGGACACTAGAACAAAGAGCAGCTCTGGCTCTTTTTTGGCTGGTCTCCCATCTCTCCTGCCAACATCAGGCAGGACTCAGATGTCGTTTTCATCCTCTGGATATAAAAAAAAAGGGCTGTTTTCTCTGTGCAGAGGGAGGGCACGGGTGTGCACATCAGCAGAGCTGCTCTTTGGAGGTGTAATTATGCATGCAAGATGTCTATTAAATATGTGTACACAGGCAAAAAATGAGGCCACCATGACTCACTCTGGTTAAAGGCTAAATGCCTGAAGGAGCAAAACATCTATAGCACAAACCAGGGATGTATGGAGAGAGCAGGATAATAACTGTGCCTCAGCTGAGCTGGCAGGAGAGAGGAGAAATGGAGAGGCTAAGATGAAACCCCAGTCTCTGGGCAGGCAGAAGGCAGATGAGAATCCCTGAAGAGAGGCCCTGAGGAGTTCCATCCAACCCACTGAAGTGCAGGAGAGCTCAATGGTTATCTCAGGAGCCTGGTTCCTCCAGGAGGGATGGTTCTGACAACGTGCAGAGACCCTGCTGCCAAATACCAAAGGTGGAATCCCAGGACTTTGGCACCTACCTTTCAGTCTGAGTCTTTTAAAGCTGCTTTTTGGCTGCTGTGGATGGTTTTAGGAGGATTTCAAAGCAGCTTTTGTGTATATGTGGATGCATGAAGACATTTGAGTGTATACAAACCCATATTAATATTCTTTAGGTGTATTTTCAGTTGTAGCTAGTTCCTTTCTCCCAAGCTTTCAAGGAAGGAGCCAGATCATCTGCAAATGGGGGCTGTAACTGCAGCCCTGATAGTGGAAAATCTGGGAGGAAAGAATTCAGACCATTAAACTCCAGGGGAAAAAAACCTCTTGGATATATACTGCTCGAAAAGCTCATCGATTTGTGGGGTGGTTTTCTCCACTCACCATCTTCCAGAGGAGCCAATGGCTCTCAGACCAACCTCTCAACACCTTCCCTCCCTGTCTGGAGGTGCAGCCCAAGTGCTTTCTCCAAGGATGTGAATGGAAAAAAACACCAGGGGCTACCAGAACTCATCCTAAGGTGGAATGAAGGTTCAGCCAGCAGCTCCTGGGGCAGGCAGGGCAAGAGGTGCCCAGCCTCACGGGCTCTGAGCATCCCTGCTCCCCAGAACTGGGCATCTTGGGTGAACCTGGGAGGCATGGGAGCTCCCCGTGCTGCTGTGAGTGGGGCAAAGTGGCCTGGCAGGAGTTTTGGTGGAAGGAGAAGGAGTTACTCTCAGGGCAGAGGTGATGGTGGGGTTGACCTGAAGTGGTGAGTTGGCTTAGAGCTGCTTCTCTGCCCCAGGTCATGCCATTTGGGGGGTGTTTAAGGGGTGAATCGGGTGGATCCAGGCAGGTTTGTTGCTGTAGATGGATTTATTTGGGCAAAATAAGAGTGTTCCAACCTGCAAAGAGTTTCCACATATGCTCATGGGACATAAGGCTCTCAAACATGAACCCCCCAGCCCTGTGTGTGCCCTTCTCATGCTGCACGTGGGAGTTTGTGGCAAACACAAACTGTCATCAGACTGAATTGGGGAGAAAAATGTTCACAGGGGTCCAAGATGAGGACAAAAAGGGGGAAAAATTTCCCTCCACCTTTCATCTCCCCTCTTCCAATCGCTTTTCTTCGTTGCCCCCCATCACCCCACGAGCAGGAGCGATGTCACTGCCTAAGGAAGGACAAAAAGGACCCATCCCCTCCTCCCAGACGTGCAGGGGAGGACACACCAACCACCTCCCCCAGCTTTCCATTGCCAGCAGACAGCCCAGCGAGGCAGCAGGAGAGGGAAAGGGGCTGGCTGGGACTCCACAGGGCAGCCAGCAGCAGCCGTGCTGCTCCAAGCAGCTCGTGCAAAGGGACTGAAAGTTTCCAGCTATGCAAAAACTGAAGCTGGAGAAGAACTGGCTGAGGAAGGAAAACCCTGGGAATAAACATCCATTAGCCTTCAGAAGCTGTAAAAATAATAAACCCAGCATTCCCGAGCTGGCTGAGGCCAGGGCTTTGCTGATGCTGCTGGTAAGGTGGCATGGCTGAGGTCTGAGGGTTCCTGGTTGGGCTTTGAGGGCTGCAGGGTAAGAATTTGGGGTGCTGGGTGCTCTCCAGCTGCTCTCTCCCTCCCGAGCCCCTGTCCTGTGCTGTCCCAGCCCCACTTTGCAGCAAAGGGGGGGGGATGAAGCCTCGGTGCAGGGCTTGGCCCCCTCGGACCCCACCTTGTGCACAGCTCCCCACCACCCTCAGCACATCCTCACAAGCACCTCGGGGCTCAGCCCTGCTCCCAGGGGTGCCTGGAAGGTGGGGGGACAGCCCCCCAGCCCCCCCAGGCACAGACGTGACGTTTCCAGTCTGGGAGGAAAAGGAGGAGGGAGAAGAGCGAATAAAAAACTCCGCTCGGCGGATTTCGAGCTATAATTGTGCTGATCTGGAAAAACAGTTGGAGGGTTTTGCAAAATTGCCCTGCTCCTGCGAGAGGCTTTCTTGGCTGGAATTCTCCTGTG